ATTACCTCCTGTCTGTAATCTACAACGTATGACCAATACGGTACCATCATTACCTCCTGTCTGTAATCTACAACTAGTGACCAATACGGTACCATCATTACCTCCTGTCTGTAATCTACAACTTGTGACAAATACGGTACCATCATTACCTCCTGTCTGTAATCTACAACTAGTGACCAGAAAAGTACCATAAATACCTCCTGTCTGCAATCTACAACTTGTGACCAAAACGGTACCATCATTACCTCTTGTCTGTAATCTACAACTTGTGACCAATATAGTACAATAATTACCTCCTGTCTGTAATCTACAACGTATGACCAGTACCGTACCATCATTACCTCCTGTCTGTAATCTACAACGTATGACTAATACGGTACCATCATTACCTCCTGTCTGTAATCTACAACGTATGACTAATACGGTACCATCATTACCTCCTGTCTGTAATCTACAAAGTATGACCAATACGGTACCATAATTACCTCCTGTCTGTAATCTACAACTAGTGACCAATACGGTACCTTAATTACCTCCTGTCTGCAATCTACAACATATGACCAGTACAGTACCAAAATTACCTCCTGTCTGTAATCTACAACTTGTGACCAGTACAGTACCATGATTTGATCGTACTCAATTGTTTTTGTTGTCACTGCTCAAACCTCCTGTCAATAATTCTACAGCTGAGATAATCACCAAAAAGTCACTGAACATGAAACAAAATGTGTTTATCTGAAATTGTGGTTCATTTTCACTCATCTAGTTATCCAGTATGAAACGTCAAATTATTCATTAATTACATTTAATCACTAAAAGAGCTCTCTGCCTCTGAGTAAAATAATGTTCACATAAAGCAGTTGCTGCCAGCCATCCTATGATTATCCTCAAATATATGAACGAACATACTTAGCAGGCAATTGGTTGACAAAATCATTTGGCCTAATGAGCTTCAGGGAAAATGCGTTAAATATTAAGTTCTGAAAATAGCTTGTTTATGGAGTTAATGAGAAATGGCTTGGAAAACCACGGACAGTAAAAAGTTAATTATTTGTTACTTTTAGCTCATTAACGAGCAGAGGGGTCGGTCCTTTCCTGCTTATGGCAATAGTGACATAATTTGCACTCCCACCACTCCCATACATCGCCGTCAAGGATGCATTAAAAACTCCACTGGCACACTGCAATTCAGTGCATGTTGGTAAACAGTGTGTGTTTGGGTTAATGCTGCATGGAACTGTTTTTCGTTTATATCACGGCGTGTCAGCTTGATGTGGGAAGAAAGCCAGAACTGATGCAGGTGGTAGATATTCACCACTTTGGTGAAACCCACAAGTGCAGGTATTGTGTGCCGAACCTGGAAACAAGATGAGGATGAACCTGGATTCAAATTTAGGATCTGGAATGCCTCATGGATCCAACACTGCAATGTGAACTGCAGAGCTTTAGAAGACTGGGCCCCATTCCACAAAGCGATCGTAGCACTAAGATGATCATAACTCCCATACTTTAACACTGACTTACGACAGACTTAGCGCTAAGATCGCTTTGTGGAACGGGGCCCTGGTCATCTGTGCCTCTTTAGGTAAATCGTAACTCAACATGGTTTGACAATAAACTGGGCTTATTGGCAGCTGTTTCTGATTATAACCAGCATGATAATGTACTAACTGCAGTGTGTAAGTTATGTACATAATTTTGTGGGGAAATTGTCACTTCAAGCATGAAAAACCTTTATATTATCAATATGCATGTTGTTCTATGTCTGTGTGACACTCACATAACGATTTTGTCCTATAGGGAAACTTGCATGGTAATATTTTACAAATTGTACCCCTAGGATATCGGAAGACACATTTCCTGTACAGCAAGGGCTAAGAAAAGCATGTTAAGTCAGAGAACTATGAATTATGTATGCAAGATAGCATGTCTTCATTCTGACTTGCAAGCGGCCAATCAGGACACAGAAATTATCATGGGACATATTGTTATGTGTTAAACCTGTTGACTGAGGATGCAAGCTGATGTTTGTTGTGAATATGGCGCTAATATGGAAAAACTTCTGGTAATTAATAATTATTTGCCTCATAAACATCAATAAGAGAAAAATATTCTGCATTGTTGCAGAACAAATAATCCTGATGTAGCAATGTAATTTGCTGCCTCATTTGTCAACAGCCTCGAGATGCCCATGACGAAGCAGCTGCTGTAAAACGGTTGATACTTTATCGAACATTTCTCAACAGTTTGGAAACGAAAACATTTTGTGCCATCCAAAACTACAGGTCAGTTGTTTGCAAAAAATACATCAAAATTCATCCAGAATTCTCTCATATATCTAGGGGTGAATATCTTGGTGGTTAGACAGTCGTAACTCCCATACTTAAACATGGACTTACGATAGTTGTAGTGCTGGATGTACGACAGTCGTAGTGCTGAACGTACAACAGTCATAGTGCTGGACTTACGACAGTCGTACTGCTGGATGTACGACAGTTGCAGTGCTGGACTTATGACAGTCGTACTGCTGGACGTACGACAGTCGTAGTGCTGGACTTACGACAGTCGCAAAGCTGATAACTTTGTAAAATGGGGCCCAAAGTGCTTTGGATACATTTCTCACTTTGTCAATGACGGATCATGACAAAAAGACAATCTGTAACGATGTGAAATAAGGGGAACCTGGAGACCCCCTAAACTTTGAATGTTAAACTTCAGGATATTAACCTGATTCAAACATGGTATGCATGTGAGTACACATTAATACACACACTAGGTACATCTGAACACACATGCGAGGTACGTTTCGGTACGTTTTCATGGTTCACGGAACCCTCTACAATGTCAATCTTCAGCTTGCGATAGTTTTTTTTTCAACTTGTTTTCAACATATCAGTAAAAGCCATCGTGGGATCCTCATCTGAACATCCAAGTCCCACAACTCCGCCATGTTACTGTTTGATGTGGGTATGTTCCACAAAGGTGCTCTTATATCAAGAAATATCTCATGAAGCACATGATGCACAAGAAGCACTACCTTTTTTATACTTGGTTTATGGATCTGCCCACATGTCAAATAAAACTATAATTTTAATGACATGCAGGATAAGACCAAGGACATTTTTATTCCCCTGAAGAGTCTGAGAAACAGATTAATTTTAGAAAAAAACCTCCTGATTCAATCGAAACGGCAATTGGAGTAATTCGTTGACTTGTCATTAAAAAAGTCTGCACCAGGAAGGATGTTTCTTTCTTTCTAATTTTTTTTTATTTCACCTCACTGATCTCATGTTCAAATGTTCGAAAAATGAATTTTTTTATGCACAAGTCTTTCAATAAAAAAACATACTGTAATAAATGAATGTAATATATGAAAAAAGGCTTGACACATTTACACCTCCTCCCCAAAAATGTGTACCATACTGATTGTTAAATCAATGATATTGACGGGGTCAGCAAAAGCAGACAAATAAATAGAGGATATGTTTCACATGTGACGAGTGAAATATATCATGTTTCTCGCGCAAATATCTCCATTTCCACACACACACACACACACACACACACACACACACACACACACACACACACACACACACACACACACACACACACACACACACACACACACACACACATGATATTGCTCATGGGATATCCTATTTATTATATACTTCTTGTGTCATTGCCTCCCGGAATATTTTTTCGTTCTATATGTAAATGTAAAACCTTGAAATGTAAATTCTCCCAACCAAACAATTAGGGACATTTCACCACCGCTTTTAATTGCAACTTAAAAAGGAGGTTTTGAGTGTGCAAAATCTGAAAAAAATCTAAACAATAGTAATAAAAGATATTTTAGGTCACATTCTTGAAACTTTCGACTGCTGCTGGAAGCGAAGGAATACACGCTTATTATGTAAGAAAAATGACACTTTGCGAAACGAACGGTCTCAATTGAGAGTTAAATGAGAAATTTACAGTTCATAACGAAACATTTTCAAGAGAATAACAAACGACAAGAAGCGTCATTAACTCCATAAATGACCATCTGTTATTGTCTTGCCTTGACAACGTGAAACGAACATAAAAAGGAAGTCAACAGTTTGTGTATGGGTCACACACATACGATAAAGGGAGACAATTTGTGGGGAGGTAACTCTTGTATGACAATAGTTCTGTCAAAGTGCAATGAAAAAACTCAGTTTTTTACACTGAAGTATATAATAAATCAGTGCACTAGCGGAAAATAAGCTACAGAAGAGGCTCAACTTCCTTGTAACCCCAATAACACAGCAGCCTTGTCCATCCAAAAGAATGGAAACAGAAGAAAACAGCTCTCTCCATTCTCTGTGTGCGTGTGTGTGTGTGAGTGCGTGTGTGTGTGCATGTGTGTGGCATAATTCCAGCAATGTTCAAGCCATATGAAGATGGCCTGTAAACAATCAAGTCTAAACCAGACAATCCAGTGACTCATATTAGGAGGAACGATCCACACCATCGGGGTACGATGACACGCAATCAACCAAGTTATGGACACCACCGAATCCATTAAGTCGTCTCTTATGACAAGCCCAGGTTGTGGACCAGTTCAGAACTGTAATCCCCATGGGATGACGCCTACCAATGAGGACCTGGAGACACATTCTACCCCGGGTCTACAGAGGCTGTATCTACAAAGTTATGTTCTGTAAGATCATGTGATTGTCCTCCTCAGTTGCTACAGCCTGTGCAACAGCTGACTCATTTCTGCACAATGCAAAACACGCTGAAATAAAACAGCAAACACTGTGAAACTCTGACAGTCTGGAACCCCATTTGCCAGACCCATATTGTCAAGAACCGCCACACAAGGGACATTACTCTGTAACCAGGATTCATTAACACGAAATGAATTCAAATTTACTCGAAAAAATATTGTCCAGATTCCCAGAGTTTTACAGGAGTTTGTCAACCAAAATATTCTCGGAATATGCTGCATGCAAAGAACGTGTACTCACACTCATCCCTGAACTTTGGTTCTGTATTTGGTCCAACATGCGCCATTGTGCGGATCAACTCCACATGGACGACGTGCTGCTCTCGATACACAGGGTCGTCGAAGAATGTCTGTAGCTGCATGTACACCCGGTCCAACACCTACAAAATGGCCATGATGTAACTTGTCACACACACACATGGAGGCCAGGGTTTGTTAGGTTCAAATGAAGTGGTGAGGTCAAATAGGGCTTAATGTCGCGTTCAAGGTTATTGCACTTATATAGCAATGCACGCGGGCATGTACACGTGTGTGAGGCTGCTTGTACTAGTCTAGACTGATGCTGATTAATAGTGCTTGTCCACTGAGATACCATGCTGCAGTTTAACATGAATACCCCACTCAGACACAGTATACTGACTCCGAGCCGACCAGTCCTTGTTTTAGTCCCTCAATGCAGAGCGCCAGGCAGTGCAACAACAAGTACAATCTTTTATCGTCTTTTGGTATGACACAGCCAGGGACGGAACCCCCGACCTTCCACTCTCTGGGTGGACGCTCTCCCACTTGACCACGGAGTCGGTCTTATATTCAAACAAAAGTTTTATTCGTGTTTCACATATTTAATTATGATAGTAATTTAAAATAAGTAACTTAAGGTTTTTATGGCTCTTGAATTATTATTTTTATGTAAACAGTCATGTGGAAAATAGCATCAAATCCAGGACGAGTCAATCATGTTCCAACATGGCTCCCCCCGTGAGTACATATTAATACACTGATGCGTAGTACTAGAAATGGTCCTCTTAATCTGTGATTAATAATTGACATCATCAGTCAGTGTGTGTTGACGAGATCACAAGGTCCATTTTACGTAACCGGAAAGTCACTTTTGCACTCAGTTTGATACCTTTCATAAATTACTGGATGGCAAATTGTCAGAGATGTCATGTTGACTTACATGACTTGGAAGTACAGCCATAGAGATTATTAGCCAAGAATGTTTCCTTATCGTAAATATTGTATATTAATAAAAATGTCTCATGCGAACCTCTGGCTTCTGATACTTATGCAGTAAAGATTACATCTCCCTGACCTATATGTGACCTCCAGCTTTTTAAGGCAATACCTCTTACCATATGTTGATGAACATAATGTATTTAGCATAGAATAAATTTTGAAATAATATATGGCCCTAACGTATTCGGCTAAGTATTATATTATCCACTTAAAGCAAGGTTACTGGACACGCCCCCACTAGCCATACCCTTGACATACATGGAATCTATACCGGTATGATATATATATATAACAGAGGTCTCCCTTCAACTAATGTAACGATTGGGTAGATTCTGTTCCCAGTTGGAGTCATACCCAATCAGCTTGAAGGGCTAGCTAAGCCACGCCTCCTTATTCATGTTTTTATGATAGGTAACACAGAGCTAAAAAATAGGTACTTTTAATTAAGCACAACAGCGCTAACTTAATGTTTTCACCCTTTTTTTCTCTGCCACTATATTGTACATCAGACAGGCTACATAATGATGTAAGAAAATTCTATCAGTATTTTTCATGAAACTTGCACTTTATGACCATGTGATCAATAATCAAATTTCAACATGTCAGTAAACTAGGACTAGTCATCTCGGAGTCAATATACTATGTCTAAGAGAGTTATTCACACTAAATTGTAGTGTCTAAGTTTTGGTGAAGCATTATTAAACGGGCTTTGTCCAAACTAGTACAAGCAGCTACACACACACACAGCCACACTCACACATACAGCCAAACACAGTCACAACCACGCCCACACACACACTCATGCCCACACACACACGCCCACAGTTACACTCACGCCCACACACAGAGTCACACTCACAAATGCACACAGCCAAACAGTCACACTCACACACAAAGCCACACACACACAGCCACAAGTGCCCCCCAACACACACACACACAGTCCCACAAAAGTTACACTCACTCCCACACATTCCCCACCCCACACACACACACATGCACACACTCACAGCCAAACAGTCACACAAAGGTCACACTCACGCCCACACACTATATAGATGCCATAATCTTGAATGCAATGTTAAACCTAATTACACATCCCCTCCCCTCTTACAACAAGCATGGAGCACCAGGTTCTCCGTCTGCCCTGGAGTCCCCCAGGGAGAAGACCTTCAAACAGCAAGCTGACAAGGGTAGGGATATAACAGCTCAGAGATAATCAAGGAACGTCTTACCTCTCGTATTGACACATGCTCTATGATGGCGCCGAGGGAGGGAATAGTGGATATTCTAACTGAGCTGCAAACACACAAAAACAACTTAATGGAGATATTATGTTCCGATGATTTCCATCTCCCTCAATGTCATCCATCTTTCACTTGCCTATTAATTCTTCATAAAAAGTACTAAAAATAAAACAAGAAAGCTGCAGTTCAAAGCACTGTTTGTTTGCTGTTTAACACCGCACTCAGCAATATTCCAGCCAGTGATATATTCCAGTGGTATCAGGTGGTCAGACTCCCTGACTTGGTTGATGCATGGCATCATATCCCAGTTGCGTAGATCGATGCTCATAATGTCAATCACTGGATTGTCTGGTCCAGACTTGATTATATGCAGATAGGCATCATATAGCTGGAATATTGGTCACTGAGGCAACAACAAACAAAAATCGAGGCAAACCAGTGATTGATATCATGAGCAATGTCCCATGAGATGGGGTAGGTTGCTATGCAATCTACCAAGTCACAGTTGGTTGGTTGGTTTGTTGTTTAACGCTGCACTCAGCAATATTCCAGCTATATGACAGCGGTCTGTAAATAATCGAGTCTGGACCAGACAATCCAGTGATCAATATCATGAGCATTGATCCACGCAATTGTGATCGATGACATGCATCAACAAAGTCAGCGAGCCTGACCACCCGATCCTGATAGTCGCCTTTTACGACAAGCATAGTCACCTTTTACGGCACGCATGGGTTGCTGAAGACAGGGGGTTCTACCCCGGAATCTTCACGGGTCACCAAGTCACAGAGTGTGATCTATTACGCTGCCTCATATGACAAGCATATGCTAGATATACAAAACTGCACAATCAATAACCACATAATATTATTTAGCCTAAATGAGTGAGTGAGTGAGTTGGTATTAACACCACTTGGAACAGTACTCCAGTTATATCACAGCATGTCAGCTTTCTGTGGGAATAAAACCCAAAGTGATGCAGGTGTTAACCACATTGGTGAAAACAGCAAGCACATGGATGCTGCTGCCATGCCTGGGAACATATTCAGGGCAAACAGGGATTCGAACCAACAATCACAGGTTTCTGGGGTGCCCAAGGAATAGTCTAAATGAGAGTGAGCTGGGTTTAACAGTATTTCAGTTATTTCACATCAGGTCAACCTTATTTGGGTGAAATGATGCAGGTGGTGGATGTTTGTGGGTGCTCCTGACAAACCTGTGACTGTCATAGGTCTAAGGTAGAGTATGGGAGTTATGATGATCACCTTAGCGGTATAACCGTCGTAAGTCTATGTTAAAGTATGGAAGTTACGATAACCTTAGCGGTATGACTGTTGTAAGTATATGTTAAAGTATGGGAGTTACGATGATCACCTTAGCGGTATGACTGTTGTAAGTCTATGTTAAAGTATGGGAGATACGATGATCACCTTAGTGCTATGACTGTTGTAGGTCTATGTTAAAGTATGGGAGTTACGATGATCACCTTAGCGGTATGACTGTTGTAAGTCTATGTTAAAGTATGGGAGATACGATGATCACCTTAGTGCTATGACTGTTGTAGGTCTATGTTAAAGTATGGGAGTTACGATGATCACCTTAGCGGTATGACTGTTGTAAGTCTATGTTAAAGTATGGGAGATACGATGATCACCTTAGCGCTATGACTGTTGTAAGTCTATGTTAAAGTATGGGAGTTACGATCATCTTAGCAGTATGACTGTCGTAACCCTACATTAAAATATGGGAGTTCCGATCACCTTAGCGCTAAGATCGCTTCTAAGAACTTGGTCTAGGAATAATTATCAGGAAGACTCTAGGTTTCAAACCCATGATCATCGATTCTGGAATGCCTAAGGGACACAACTCTGCACAATGAATTGTGGCGCCTTACCCCGAACTCCTTGCCCACACCAGGACCACCCTCAACTGAATGAGTGAGTGAGTATGGTTTTATGCCGCTTTTAGCAATATTCCAGCAATATCACGGCGGGGGACACCAGAAATGAGCCTCACACATTGTACCCATGTCGGGAATCAAACCCGGGTCTTCGGTGTGATGAGCGAATGCTTTAACCACTAGGCTACCCGACCGCCCCTCTCAACTGAATGAATGTCACAGTTTACAGTCTTACATTTCTGGGTCATTGGCGAGAGTGACTAGAGCTGGCACAACCCGTGTGGAGATGAACGTATCATTTAGGTTTTGAATCAGGAGCTGAAACAGCAAGAATGACACATTGTATACCCAGGAGTTGAAACAGTAAGAATAACACATTACACACCCAGGAGCTGAAACAGTAAGAATAACACACATTATACACCCAGGAGCTGAAACAGCAAGAATAACACATTATACACCCAGGAGCTGAAACAGCAAGAATAACACACATCATACACCCAGGACCTGAAACAGCAAGAATAACACACATTATACACCCAGGAGCTGAAACAGCAAGAATAACACTATTAATACTCAGGAGCTGAAACAGCAAGAATAACACACATCATACACCCAGGACCTGAAACAGCAAGAATAACACACATTATACACCCAGGAGCTGAAACAGCAAGAATAACACTATTAATACTCAGGAGCTGAAACAGCAAGAATAACACACATCATACACCCAGGACCTGAAACAGCAAGAATAACACACATTATACACCCAGGAGCTGAAACAGCAAGAATAACACTATTAATACTCAGGAGCTGAAACAGCAAGAATAACACACATTATACACCCAGGACCTGAAACAGCAAGAATAACACACATTATACACCCAGGAGCTGAAACAGCAAGAATAACACTATTAATACTCAGGAGCTGAGAGGGTCAGGTCAAAGGTCCATAAAGAACACATTATCCCTAAAACTACCAGGGGTACATAGCATTTTGATCCATCAGCAACACGTGACCTGAATATGTCAAAATCGAATTTCAATTTTTTCACACAATACCACTTTTATGACTACCAGTGCAACATCTTATTGCATATCTCTTAACAAACCGATCCGGGGTAGAATAGGTCTTCAGCACTCCATGCTTGTCACAAGAGGCGACTAACGGGTACGTAGCATTTTGATCCATTTGTTTGACACCTATTAGTGGCAGGCATGAATATTGTAATGCAATTTATTGCACTAATGATTCACGTATTGCAATACATACCACAATGTATTGCATGCGTTCTTTCATCTATAATTTGCTATGAACCTGAATAATAAAAATATTCCCCACACATTTATCCCAACTTGCATTTTGTTGGATGTTGCTATGGTCACAAAGCATGCGCACTAGACACATTACATACAGAAAACTGGTCGGAAATCACAAGAAACAGCTGCTAATTGCTAAATTTCCTAATTTCAGTTTGACTTGTCACTTATGTCAAATTTTCAAACAAGATGAAGATATGTATGATTTGGAAAAATGCAATATACCGGTATTTTCCAAATTACTGTGATTTATTTTTATTATTATTTCATATCGTGGAATACTGGTAATATCGTTCACCTCTAATACTTGTGTGGTGATTCAAAACCCACATTTTGCATGCAGTGTCCTAAATAACTGCCTGCCTGCCTGTCTGCCCGTGTCTGGTAACTTTTCTGTCGGGCTGCATGAAATTTTCCTCCACGTCTCCGAATGTCTGGCAGATAATTTTAAGACTACCTACGTATTCAGTTTTATCATAAGTGCTCGTATATTCTCAAGTTATTGTTTACATTATTTCAACTGAATCAAGGCACAATTTGTCTCTTATTTTCACGACTTTTAAAAATTGATAATGTCTGAATGCGGGCAGGTAACGTTGAAGATGGGCAGGCAACACTTATGGGTCACCTGCCTGACTGTCTTGTTGGGTTTCAAAGTTATTTCAAACACTGTTTGCATGAGAGCAAATTTTCTTTGATGTCCTTCTGTATGACAACATCATTCCTTCCTTTCACCTCCTTACAGTGTGGAAGAAGCAACCTAACTTGGGCCAGATCCTCTCCAACCCTGTATTTATTTATCTCTTTACAAAGTTAATTATGCAGAATACACTCTTGCATCAGCTGAACACAGAGAGAGGTAAAAAAGAAAAAGTATCTCCGTTTCATTAGAACAAGAATACAAGCAAGCCATTGAACTATATCCAAATGTTGGAAGATCAAAAGCAACACGTGTCCTGAATATGTCAAAATCGAATTTCATTTTCACACAACACCACTTTTATGACTACCAGTGCAACATCTTATTGCATATCTCTTAACAAACCGATCCGGGGTAGAATAGGTCTTCAGCAACCAATGCTTGTCGCAAGAGGTGACTAACGGGATCAGGTGGTCAGGCCTGCTGACTTGGTTGATGCATGTCATCAATCCCAATTGCGTGGATATATGTTCATGATATCAATCACTGGATTGTCTGGTCCAGACTCGATTATTTACAGACCGCCGTCATATAGCTGGAATATTGCTGAGTGCGGCTTTAAACAACAGAACAACCAACCAAATCTTAAGAAACCAATTATTCAGAACTAATTGGAGTACACAGTTTTGGGGGTATGCAAAGTACACCCTGTTTAGCTGATCTGAAACAATGAACCCTGACATGGACAACTCTTTGTGTAAGTTAAAGACGAGAAGTAGAAAGCCCATTGATTCCAAAAATAAGTGTGACAATGTAAGCCTCCTTTTAAAAGGCGACTAACAGGATTAGGTGGTCAGGCTCGCTGACTTGGTTGATGCATGTCATCGATCCCAATTGCGTGGATTGATGCTCATGATATTTTTTTTTTTTTTTTTTTCTTTTATTGTTTTTAGAAAGACACACCTGTTACATAAATGGGCTTCCGCCCAGGGTAGCAGAAAGCCCATGACATAAAGCACAACTTATCAGTACATCTTACTTTGTTGTTTTTTTTATACAGAAAATAACATACTTCTCACTCACACATTCACTCTTGTTTATATATCATATTGCAGTTTAGGAAAGTACATGGTCTCAAACATTAAAATCTTAAGTACAAAACTAAAATTAAATTGAAAGCTGCTCCTCATTTTCGAAAAGTTGATGATACAGCATCCAAGCACCATAGAATTTCTGTTGATTACCTGTCTTGAAAGCAATATCTTTTTCAATGTTGTATCGTGAAAAAGCTTCCTTTTTATAAACATGAAAATAAGGTTTTGTATTTTGGAATTTGCATCTATAAATATAGTATTTTGCAATTAGTAAAAGTAAATCAAACACTTTATCTGTTTTTATGTTCTCTTTAACTCCAAAAAGTATCAATTCTGCACAAAATGTCATATTATAAACATGAAAGCACTGGTCGATCCACAATGACACTTCATCCCAAAATTGTTTTATTACATCACATTCCCAAAACAAGTGAGTAATTGTTTCCTTTTCATTGTGACAGAAGGAGCACAAATCATTCTGAGCATAATTGAGTAAATACAGAAAAGTATTAGTGGTGAGAATTCTGTGGGTAATTTTGTATTGAAACCATCGCAGTTTGACATCCTGTGTTGTACTGAAAATTTTATTATAAATATTGTTCCAATTTAAGTTTTCAAATTGTAATTCCCACTTTTCCTGCCCTTTAGTTTTTACTTCTGTAGAAACCAATGAAAAATAAATATGTTTTGAACCGGACTTGGAACTACAAATAGTTTTTACCACACAGCGCTGATCCTCCACAGAATCTGTTGGAACTCTAACTAAATTTAGAGCTCCAAGGTATTGTTTAACGCTGCTAACAACACCATAAAACTCCAAATAGGATGAACAAATACCATACATATCATTAAATTCCTCATATGACAGAAACTCCTTATTGGCCTTGACCAAGTCTATAATTTGGGAGATGCCCTTCTCAAACCAGCATTTCAAGAAAAATGATTTCCTGTTAATTTTAATATTAGGGTTATAAAAAATTGGTTCAGTTAAAAAACTACTGAAAGATTCTGGCTTGATTTTCTTATCAAGCACTATAAATGACTGAAAACAACTTTTCCAAAACTCATTACTTATCAAAGATAATTTTCTTTCAAAAAACGTCACACCAAAGATGCTCATGATATTAATCACTGGATTGTCTGGTCCAGGCTCGATTATTTACAGACCGCCGTCATATAGCTGGAATAATGCTGAGTGCAGCGTTAAACAACAAACAAACAAACAAACATTTAAGAGAATGCATTACATGGAATCAGCTCTTGATGGCTACCTCTTTGTGTCCTGGCTGAAATCTGAACCCTTTCTGATAATGAACCGACAACATAACAATGTGGTTTGGAAAATAATTACAAACAACAACACACTTACTTATTATCAAATCATAGTCTACTTGCTGTGTAACAATAATGTTGTTCTTCTTTAAGATATCGTATTTAAATATATAATATGGCAGAGTAATGGAAGCAATAACAATATATCTCAAGTAACAACTCTTTAAACTAATGTCTCATTCCGAAAATAGTGTCTGCCTGTGTGAAATCGGCTGTCAGATATATGATCATCAGGTAATTGCTTAGGTCTCAGGTGAACTCAACATTTCAAGGTCTTTCAAAATGTCAAGAACTGACATTTCCTTGCGGTAGTTATGAATTACTGACTGTATATGGTTCGTAAGTAAACAGATTAATAAATTCAAAATATCTATTCATTCGTTAAAGTAACTTTAGGAACAGTGTATGGATACAATTCTTTAGAAAACCCTCCAATTTGTTATACAGTGACCACACATCTGCAGCCATTTGTGTTTACAGAAGCAATGACACATTGGGAAACTCTTCTTTAAAGTTAGGGGAAATATTTACAAATCTCTGTCCAGCAAGTAGGCGTGATGCGATCAAATCTCATCGCCAGAGTTCTATGCAGCCAGCCAAGTACCTCTGCCTCAGGCCAGCGACATGAGACGATTCGTCACATCTTACAAAGTCCATTCTAGTCATAGCATGTTTTACATCGGTTTTATTTTTACGACTCCACACATTCAGATAAACATGTATCATAGAATGGTTACATGTCATTGAGAAAATATCATAAAACATGAAAAATTATTTCCTTTTGCGTATTTATCCCTGGTTGAACGCCGCCATGTGCTGCAGAGAGCTAGCTATACGGTCACTTTAACACATAAAGATATACTGTCATGCACCTCACTGTTGTAGGGGGCACGGGGGGCCCAGTCGTCTAAGGCGCCGTGATTCGCAGTGTA